TCTATGTGAAAGTGTGGGGACATCAACATGAACGAACAGTGCGTGAGGACCGAGTGTGATAAGAAGCAGGTCAAGGGTAAAAACGTTTATTAAGGATTATTTTTAGTTAGCCGACTGTTCCCATTAACCATGTTTAAACCTAGAAAAGAAACAACTATGACGAAGTTTTAAAAAAGAAATAATAAAAAACAGCACTGTGTTATTTTCAATACGACCTAAAACTATGGGGTGAGACCTTAAAGTCATCAGTAAAGTCTTAATTGAAGTCACAGATCAGGCGATGCAACGAGTAATCTCTTCATAGACTTTGCATCACTGGACTCTTTTTTTGCAGGCTGAAGGGTCGCCCCCTGCTGGCCGTTAGAAAGAATGCAAGTTTAGGGCACATCTCCACTGGTGGCACTTTTATTTGCTCAGCATACGATTAATATTGTGGGCAGGACTGTGATGGTTGGCACACACCAAGAAGGTCCTAGCCTTTTTGGGCACTCAAGCTTCTTTCCACAGTCCAGAGAGAAGCATATTAGCTGGTGACGCTAAATTGGCCATAGGAATGACGTGAGTGTGAATGGTCATCTGCGTTAGCAACCCGTTCGCAGGGACCCCGCCTCACACCCTAACTTGGATATCATGAATGCGTGGTGATTACTTTGTGTGCTAATCGAAGCAGGTTAAAGTTTGTCTTGTTTCTCTAAGTATCCTGTGTCATATCATTTTTGAAAATAAGGCCAAGAATAGAAAAGATATTCCATCTCCAATTGCCAAGATTGAATACGTGCTCATATGTTATGTGTATTTGGCTACAGCCTGAGTTTACTCACACAGACATTCTGGGCTACAGTTGGTTTTTCTTCATTTACAGTTTTTTACCTTTCATGCTTCTCATCTTGCTTTTTGCCGATATTTTGTTTCCTGCTACAACAGAAAGATGATTTATTTAAAAGTAAATCCAGAGACACTGACAGGCTCAGATTTTAATGTGACATTCGATCAATCTGCCGACGATCGGTGACTGAAGCTCTCAGGTGACTCGGCCAGGTGTTGCCGCCTCAGTCCGTGCACGTGTGCTAACTTGGCTCTCGTGTTTCATCTCCTTTCCGACCCTCCGACACCCTGCGCTGTAGTGCTCAGATGGCTGGTCTGCTGTGTGAGGAGGAAGGACCAGAAGCTGATAACGTGAAGTATTGTGGCTACTGCAAGCATCACTACAACAAAATGGTAAAGAACACAATGACATCATACCCCAGAAAAGCCTTTCTTACTGCACTGCACAGTTAACAGCTAACAGGATTAATAAGGGCTTCTGTGCCCGGCTATTTTTCCTCAGCTCAAGGCAGCTAAATGATTCTTGGAAAACGCCCGACCACAATAAATAATTCAGGAGATAAACCTCCTGTTAAGTCATTGGAAGTGCTTGTAGAGAACCTTTAAATGTCAAACTGTTGCTTTGAAATTTCAGCAGCTGTTAACTTTTTGTTTGCTGTTCCTTCTTTTGGACTTTACAGCAGAAGAAGTTGCGTTCTAGTGAAAATACAAGTAGCTCCTTCAGTCATTCCAGGGGGCGCTCCAGCTCTCCGTCACAGGAAAAACAGCACCACCACCACAGACAGAGGAAGGTAAGCACAGCTGTGGTCAGATCAGACGGCAGTCTCCAGAGCTGAAAACTACCAAAAGCTGCAGTTCCTCTAATGTCCACTTGAGGCTGTTAAAAAAGGGAATCAGTCAGATGTAGCTGCTGGCTGTGGGCTAGGCCTCACCTCGGCTAACGAGAGCTGCTAACTAGACACCTGCTGACTATTTTGTGAGCTTACGTCACCCAGATGTTCCTTCCTGTTGAAAAGGCGTTTTTCCTCCCCACTATTGCCAAGTGCTTGCTCATAGAGGGTCATCTATTGCTGTGGTATTCCCTGTATTACTCTAAGGTCTTTTTACAATATGAAGTGACTTTAGGTGACATGTTGTTGTGATTGTGATTAGAAAGAAGTCATTTTGGAGCATTTTATTGAATTATTAGACAAATAATAAGGTTTTGCTGTTTGGAACTGGGAAATGCTAGGATTTAATAATTTTGTAGCACTAATTAACAGGATGTGCGTGTGTGATGTATTTGCGCAGTTTGTGTCTGCAGCTTGCTAATATTAGTGTAACCAAAAGTGTAACCAAAAACCAAAAGTAAGAGTTAAAAATAGACTTTGTCTATTCATCGTCAGATTAATAAGACCAGCCAGTCTGATCCAGACCAGCTTGGCACACAGAAGCTTTTATTTTGAAACGATTGAATAACAGCTGAATTGGCAACGAAGAAAAGGATGAATTTTAATGCATTTTCTTCCTGATAAAATTATCAAATAAGCAGAGAGCTAATTTAGATTTTATTGCATGGGCGTGAGCAAGCTGAGCTACACTGTGTAAGCACGCCTCACTGTCCTGAAGTCATACACCAGACACACCCAGTTATCCTACGCTTCCAACCTCACAGCTTCCATCTGTTGGCTCCTGGGGAACGTTCAGTCATCACTCCCGATTTCCGGGTGTCATCATTTCAGGCAGTGATAAGCTCGACCCCTTGACGTCAAACTCTAATCTGAATACAAACTATGAGCTCAGACAGTCTCAGATATCTGGAGGTACAGCCTGGATAAACAAAAGCTAACGCATTTAGGCGTACCCTGCCTCTGGTCATAAAGACATATTATACACATATCATGAAATAACATCATCTCTCTGCGCCATTACATCCTCTCAGCCTCAAACACTTGAAATCAAATAGGCCGGCATTCATGTAACACTTCTCTCGTCGTTTTGACCACTTAAAGCTCTCCACACTGCACGCCACATTTACCTCCTCCACACACATTCATGCAGCGCTTTATTCTGTACACTCGACTAAACAATTAACCTAACGTGCACTTCTCAGATGGGGCGAGTTAACTCTGCGAAGGTGCGGTGCTCCCGTGCACGTGACCCTATCATAAGCATGCAAAACTAAGCAGACAGGTGCCCCTTCAAAGCCCCTCCAAGCTAACAGACTAGCTAACAGAGAATTCAGCAGACAGGAAAGATGCTGACGGCACACGGTTCCAGCTGAGCAGCTCTTTGTCAAGTGTGAAAAGAGACCCGCAGATTTTTTCGCCACCAGACAATCCCGGTCTTCAAAGAATCATCTTTGTTATTGTTTTGATGTTCCGGCAGAGATATGGCTCCACCGTCAGGGAGCGGACGCTTCACGCAGTTGTTGAACTGAAAAAGAGATGAAGAAGAAAAGCGTGTTTCTTCCAGTCAAATCTCAACTGAGTAGGGCTGCACGATTAATCGTTAGAAAATCGCGATCTCGATTCATACTTATGTGC